ACATATTGAAAGATCGACAGATCTTAGAATCAACTTCAGACGAGTTCGAGAGATAATTCAGAACCGATCCAGTTCGTATTTTCAAGTTGGATTTCAACTTCACGACGAAGGATATCCAATTCCTGGCTCAACTTCACGACGAAGGGGCCACCCACGATTTCAACTTCACGACGAAGGGAATCATGCTCACCATTGTCTCTCTTGAGACAGTTTCTCTTAAAACAAACTTTGTCTCTCTTGAGACAGTTTCCCTTGAAACAAAATTTTTTCTCCCTTGAGACAGTTTCTCTTGAAACATAAACATTGAAAACATTTCCCTTGAAATGAGTTTTGTCTCTCTTGAGATAGTTTCCCTTGAAACAAAATTCCGTCTCCATTGAGACAGTTTCTCTTGAAACATAAACATTGGAAACATTTCCCTTGAAATAAATTTTGTCTCTCTTGAGATAGTTTCCCTTGAAACAAAATTTTGTCTCCCTTGAGACAGTTTCTCTTGAAACATAAACATTGAAAACATTTCCCTTGAAATGAATTTTGTCTCTCTTGAGATAGTTTCCCTCGAAACAAAATTTTGTCTCCCTTGAGACAGTTTCTCTTGAAACATAAACATTGAAAACATTTCCCTTGAAATGAATTTCATCTCTCTTGAGATAGTTTCTCTTGAAACATAAACATTGAAAACATTTCCCTTGAAATGAATTCGTCTCTCTTGAGACAGTTTCTCTTAAAACAAAATTTTGTCTCCCTTGAGACAGTTTTCTCTTGAAGCATCATCTTTGAATATGTTTTCCTTGGAACTAATTTCATCTCCCCGTGAGATAATTTCTTTTGGAACTAAGTTTTGTCTCTCTTGAGACAGTTTTTCTTAAAACAAAATTTTGTCTCCCTTAAGACCGTTTCCCTTGAAACAACAAATATCTTTGAGATCGTTTCCCTTGAAACGAGTTCTGTCTCTTTTGAGACAATTCCTCTTGAAGCATCATCTGAACCGTTACACTCAGCTCAGGCACATACTTGGGATAGTATTTCTCAAATCAAAAAATAGAATGTGCACATCAGATTTGAACATTTGAAGAATTTGAGACCATGGATCAGAACTTGAAGATTCCAGAACCAAGATTCCAGAAAAACAACCAGAGATCGAGATTTCTCTCATGAGCCCCAAAATAACGTTTTAGCTAGAGTCAATTTCGACTTCACAGCGAAGGATATTGGACTCGAGACAACACAAGTTCAACTTCACAACGAAGGGACGGTTGGTTGTCAACAATAATTTCCCAGTTTCAGGGCCAATTTTAACTTCACAACGAAGGATATTGGACCCAAGACAGCACAAGCTCAACTTCACAGCGAAGGGGCGGCTGACTGTCAACAAACAATTTCGGAGCCAATCTCAACTTCACAACGAAGAGACGGCTGGTTGTCAACAATAATTTCCCAGTTTCAGGGCCAATTTTAACTTCACATCGAAGGATATTGGACCCAAGACAGCACAAGCTCAACTTCACAGCGAAGGGGCGGCTGAATGTCGACAAGCAATTTTGGAGCCAAACTCAACTTCACAGCGAAGGATATTGGACTCGAGACAACACAAGTTCAACTTCACAACGAAGGGACGGCTGGTTGTCAACAAACATTTCTCAAATTTCAGAGCCAATTTCAACTTCGCAACGAAGGATATTGGACTCGAGACAACACAAGTTCAACTTCATAATGAAGGGACGGCTGATTGTCAACAAGATTTCGTTCAGAGTCAATTTCATCTTCACAGCGAATGATATTAGACTCGAGACAGCACAAGCTCAACTTCACAGCGAAGGGGCGGTTGACTGTCAACAAATAATTTCCCAGTTCCAGAACCAATTTCAACTTCACAGCGGAGGATATTGGACTCGGAACAATATTTGGATTTCAACTTCATGGCGAAGGATATCCAATTCTCATGCTCAACTTCACGACGAAGGGGCCCTGTACGATTCCAATTTCACAAACAGATTGACTCAACTTCACAACGAATGAGTCATCTGTAACGCATCAACACCGAAGTCTTCAGGTCAAGTTTCACCTTCACGACGAAGTATCTTGATCCAGAAGACGATTCAAAGGCCACTCGCCAAAAGCTTTGAGTTCGATTCCAACTTCACGACGAAGGATATAGTGCTCAGAAGCTTCCAGATGAACTCGACTTCACGACGGAGGAGTCATCCGTAACTCAATTCGACAGGGAGTAATTGAAACATCAGAGTCAATTTTCAACTCCACCGAACGAAAAGTGTGTCTTTCAATCTTTGCCCTATCCCCGTTACACGACTATGGGCAAAGAGGGGCAGCTGTCAACACACCTTTTTCGTCCTACTAGGATTCAAACTCTCAAAAATAGGATAGAATTCAGCTAGGATTCAACTCCTAAAATAGGATATAATTTTGCTATGTTTTAAACTCCTAAAGATAGGATCCACAAGCACTATAAATAGCCATTGTAGCTCACTATTGTAACACACGATTGGCATACGAAATTACCAGAAAAAAATACGAGCAAATAGATTGTTTTGAAGCTATTGTAAACAATTCAGGAGCAATAAAAGGTGAAAGCTTTTACCTTTCGCATTCTTTTCTTCACTTGCATGTGTTGTTATTCGTCTTTGTGCTAAAAAAACAGTTTTGGCCGAGGAAAAGGGGTTGTCGTTCAAAACTTTTTCTTTTAGATCTACACAACCCCGAGGCCATTTTGGAAAAAATACTAGGATATTTAAAACGAAGGAAAGTTTTGCCGCCGATGAACGATCCCTTATGTATTATTTTCATATTTTTATTTATTTCTTTTTGATAAATCGTATTATTAATTATATATATATATTAATTATTTTTATTCTAATATTATTTTAATGTTTTTTAAAGTTATTATATATATATATATTTATAATTATTATATTTATTATTATTGTACTATTAACGTATATAAATATATTTTTCTCTTTTGCTACTATTATTATCATTATATGTATATTTTTTATTGTATTTTATTTTTATTTTTACTTTTTTTAAACATATGCATATATATACATTTAATTATATTTTTATATTTTATAATTCTTTATTTTTTTATTTTCATGTATTTATATTATATTACATTATTATTATTTTACTTTATTAAATTATTTTTTGTTATTATAATATTATATATATATATATCATAATGTTTTTTTTGTTTATTCATTCTTACTATATTATAGGGATACATCACACTCATTATTAACTACGGTCCTACCCCTTATCGTCTTTTTCCTTCCCGACAGTTATACTTCACCAAACCTTGACTTTCTTTTTTTACTTTCTTTTGGTGTGATTGCGTTTTTTTTATTTTACTACTTATTATCATTATTATTATTTTGCACTTAATAATTATATATTTTATTCATCTTTTAGTTTTTCATCATTTTTTTATTTTTTCCCTTTATTTTCTTTATTTCATTTACTCTTATTTCCTTTAACGCGTTTCTCGACTTTTTAAGGGTACTCTTTCAAATTGATCGGAGGTAAGTAATTTTGGATCATATGTTACCTTTAAATTTTAACTTTCGATTTTCTTAATTAAAAACAACTGGAAATTACGTAGTACCGAAAGGGTGGTTCAAGGGTGTTAATCCTTCCTTGACCGTAACCGACTCCCGAATCCGACATATCTTTGGTAAGACGCAGATCAGGTAAGATATAAGGTATCCGATTAACCTATTTTTTTTAAATAAATAATTGGTGACGACTCCAATCACATTTTTCAAGTCGAAGCCCAATTGCGTGATCCAACCGAAAGACGGTTACGACATGAATGAATCTCTTATTTTGGGTTTTTATAATCATATTTAGGGAATAATGGGAGAATTGGAAACATAAGTGGAATTATAGGTATAGAGTTTGAGGGGGATATGGATAAAGGAGTTTGAGGGAGACAGAGAGTCTCTATGGAAATGCAGGGGAAGGGTTTTTGGTTGGTTCGATTTGAGTCTCGGATTGAATAAATTCGGGATTTTAGGTAGGGGAAACATTTTTTGGAAAGGAAGTATGATGTAGTTTATTTTTTTTAAATGTCAGTTCGGAAATTGATTTATAATGATTATTAATTTAAAAATTATTTTTATGTGATATTTAGATAAAATTACCGATAATACGTGCAATTGTTGTATTTAATAATTAACAGGTTTTGCACACGGATAACTTTGCGCATTAATATAATTATTATATAATAATTTATATATCCAAGAATAAATTAGATAACTTTTTAAAAATAGTTTTAATAAACTATGTACTGTGCACGAAATTGGTTAAATTTTTTAAAACATATATTATCTTATAATTACTTTAAACTATTAAAAAATATTTTTAATAAATTAAATTATACATAGGTATTGTTAATGTAATGATTAATTGTATAAAAAAACTAATTGGCGAAGTAAACGCCTTACAAAAACACATAAAAAATATCAATGGGTTTGACTCAAGTAATAAGTAGTTTAATATGTATCAAGTTTGAGTTCTTGTGTATGTAGAAAATTCTCACTGGAAAACTCACATATCAGGGTTAGAGGTACGATCTGTGTCGAATCGGATTAATCAAGGCGAAACTTTAGAAATCAGGAAGACAACAAAAAAAAAAAAACATATAAAAAATTAAATTGCCATATTTTTAATATTTACTATACAATAATTCCATTGTCATATAATAAAGAAAGAATATAAAACTTTTCTTAGTGAAGTAAGCGCCACTGATAGAATTGAGAGCAAAAGCTGAGACAAACTGATCAATGTCTTTGCCATGTTTCAAGTAAAGTTTACTACAATATCTAAACCACTTTATTTCCTTTGAAATGTGTGGCAGACTCAGAAGATTGTAAAAGTTTTAGCGGGTTTAGGAGGCTATAACTTTCTGCTTTACCCAACCTCTCCTACTATAAATCATCCCCCACCCCCTTTCATTTCCCTTTCATCTTCACCTCTCTCTGATTTCAGAAAATTCCAAAAGGAGGTGAGGAGGAAAACAAATCTTTTAACTCCCCTGTTTCTGCTCTCTTTTCATCTCTTTTTTCTGCTTGCAACTTTTTATTTTGGATAAGAAAATGTCCTCGAGCGTCTGTCAAGGGTTGCAATCATGCCTGGAGGTGGTCGAATCACGTTTCTTGAGGCTCAAACTGGTTCCACCCATAATGAACATCACTGAGCCGTACAATGAAGAAACAAACACCACTACCATCACAAACAGTAAGGACAACGGCAGTGATTGCATACCGATAGCCGATCGAAATACCAGCATGGGTGGCTGGAGTTTCCTACGGTCCCTCTCCGACGCCAAAGTTCCCACTGAGAACCACAAAGTCTACGTTCACCCTCTCGTTAAGCGTTCTAGGCTAAGTGAAAAAAGCCTTGAAATGTGCACAGAGCAATTAGGTAGCGAAACCGGAAGTGAAGTTAGCGATTGCAGCGATGATGTTTCGTTGCTTTCGTTGGAAACTCGAATGGTGACTTGCGATTTTATTCCGTCCAAGCCAAGGGAAAGTCCGTCCACGAGAAAAATGAGTCATAGAAGCAACAGCTTTCCGCCTCCTTTGACGTCCATTAGCGGTTCGAATGGTGTTCGGGTCAAGTCTCATCGAGAAAACGGTCGCTTAGTTCTTGAAGCCGTTAGTTTCCCTCCCTGTCATAGTTACTTCCATGCAGAACGTAGCGGCGGCCGGCTTAGGCTTTCCCTTTTCAAGGACTCTACCCCGGTTCTCCACAACGAGGAACAAGACGACGGTGAAGAAGTCGAAGAAGATGAATTTTATGGGGAAACTGAGAATAAGGAAGGAAACGAGGGGAATGTTGGAGGTGAAATTGGGACAGGGAAGCTGCCTATACCAAGCAGCTGCAAAGAAAGTGGGCGTGGCCACAAAGGCGGCTTGCTTAATTGGAAATCATTCTTGGTGGCTACTTAAAAAATATGTGGCTAAAATTGGAAGATTTTTCACCACCCCGAAGTCAGAATTATAATTATCAATACCATCGTAGGATTCCCTAATTTCCCATTTTCTCCCTTTATTTTCTAATTTTCAGTTATTACAAGTTTTAGATTACCGATTACGTACCATGGATTTCCTAAAATATGCTAATGTTGGTAGTTATTATCGTTATAGGACCACCCCCGTGTTACATTTTCATTCTGTTGAAAAAACGTTAAGTTTCTTTCTCTAGATTGTTTAATCTTTTACCTATACAAATTCTTACAATTACTTGCAAAGCATGACCGAGCCAAGATTTGCACAAACAAAGGACAACAATCAAGGATTGCCCTATGTTTTTCCTTGAACCACCGAGTGTAGTGAGTTGTCTGGTCCCAATCCAAGCACGATCGATTACTGTGGTTGCCTCTAATATTTTGTGCTCATCGCTTTCATAGGGCACGTTTCGTTGGAACAGAACCATGAAAAGAGGAGGAGATGGGAGGTGTGGGAAAAAACATTACGTGACTCTGAACTTTGAAATATTTAATTTGAATTAGTCGATTAATAAATCGGATGTTGGTAGTTATATAAAAAATATTATAAAAATAATTGAATGAAAAATATCAAATAAACTCTCTCGGCAATCATAGAAGTTCTGGGGCCAACCAAAGACAACATGTAACTTATCACCTCATCACACATGATCATCCATGTGCTTTGCAGCTTCCCCTGTTTCACTCGGCTTCCAATCAGTTCAAATTTCTTTCCAACGCCATTGATGACGATGGATCAAAGATTCGTGAGGTGTATTGCCATGTGAAAGACAATAAACGATCCCCCAACTCTCAAGCTACATATCACAAAAATCGATTAATCCGTACTCATCGGTTCGAAAGAGAAATTTATTTTATGTCCGAGTGTAATGAAAACGGAAGATCATGAAAATAATCAACTATAGATGTTGAAAATGAAATTTGTACAGCAGCAATAATAAAAAAAGGGGATCGTTTACTTGCAAGGGCACTCTATACAAAGTAACTTTTGGGATACGGGCAATCGGCAAAGGCTTAAAAGCTAGAAAATTGATTGGTTGGCATTAGGTCCTGAGAAAGAAGGGGTAACATCCCTTAAAAAAGAAGGGCAGTGTCCCACAATGCAATTTGGGTTAAGATACGATTTTTTTTGGTAAGACTGGGGATGCTGAATTTGTCAAATGTTAGTAGTGCAAAAATGCGTCATTGTGGCTTGACATCGATCATGTGCTTTGAGAACCTTAGAGAGCCCTTTTCCATTGATCACACACACACATATATTCTCTCACCATATCACACACCACAAGCAAGTGAAATCTTGAGGTAATCAGCATGTCTCCTCATATTTCTTTTTACTGTCACATGGGAAAACTAAATAATATCATATATGTTGGGCTAAAAAAATGGTTAATTGAATGGTTATAAAGATTTTCCTCTACTTAGCTAGGCAATAGTTGGAAAATTTTGACCCTCATTTACATTTCTTTTCAAGGGTTGCAGCTTGCGTAGATTACTCAACATGCAAAAAGGAGCATAACCCAGTTTTTTATATACTTCTATATCTCATGAACATATCATCTTTAAAATTGAAATTTAAATTAGAGAAAATAATCTAAGTGACCAAAATGTCTTATAATATACGAATTTAACCAATTTTTTTTTGGATTTGCCAAAATGACCAACAAATTCGCAACGCGAATTCCAATTTCGCAATCCAGTTTCCAAATTCGCTACGCGAATATGTAATTCGCGTTGCGATATTCCAAATTCGCAACGCGAAAGTCAAATGTTTTTACGCGAAACACAATATTAATTTCGTAACACAAATATAAATAGTATTATCGCAAATCATCTCTAACCTAAAACCCTAAAGCACAACTCAGCCTCATCTACATCTCTCACTCTCTACAGCGACATCCGTCCCCATCTCCGACGAAATCCGTCCCCATTTCCGACGAAATCCGTCTATCTCCATCTCTCAGATCAACCCTCACAACCATTCACGGTCAGAAATGGAAAATCAACCACCGATGGTTAGTTTTTTTAATCTCTTATTTTTATTTTGAAAATTTTGTATTATTATTAGATTAACTATTTCACTGAGATTGCTAAATTCATTCGGTTGTTGCCAATACTGCTAAACTGTTTAGTCTTTAACCCTGTGAAGTTAGTATTTGTCTTTGTTTTGTCTTTTTGTTGAAGAAACACTAAATCACAATACCAAATTCGCAACGCGAAATGAAAATCGCAACGCGAAACTAAAATCGCGTTGCGATTTTCATTTTCGCGTTGCGATTTTTGCGTTGCGAATTTAAGTTTCAGAAACTTCTTTTTTTCGCCAAATTGAAACTTGAATGAATTGTATTACTTCAACCAAAAAACAAAGACAAATACTAACTTCACAGTGTTGCTAATTTAAGTTTGAAGAATAAACTACTACTCTTTATGTTATCCTTGAACCTGCACTAAACCTATATGTTATCCTTTTAAATGTTTATATATAAGTGCTTACTTCTGGAATGTTATCTGATGCATTTTGTGAACTATGATGGAATAATGACTTGGGTGAATACCGTGCTAGTTTGAAACATATTTGGCTTTGTTTTCACTGTTTAATATCATGTCTGTTTGTAGTGTATAATTTGTAGTGTATAATTTGTAGTTTTTTGGTATATCTAACTTGGTTTATTTATTATTTTTGTAGAAATTTTTTTCGGCTCAATTGACCTTAAGGAATAAATTAAGCATAGCCACTAAAATTGCATCGACGCTTACACCTCTACAAAGAAAATTGTTTGAGGATACTTGCTTCGGGCCATGGCTGAAAGTACAACATCCGGGTGGAGATGCTATGTTGACACATTTGTTTCTTCAGACCATGACTAACGATCTACCCGAGGGGGTACAACGTGGTGATGAAGAGATATGGTTTCATTTTCCTCCGGCACCGGCGTATACTTGTTTTGGGAGGGAGGAGTTTTGCTTAATCACTGGTTTACGCTTCAGACACAATGATGTAGGTCGGTACACTAGTCATATCGCCCGCCCATCATGGTTATATCGGGTTTTTCCTGAGCTGGCAAAGTCGAAGCCGAGTATACATGTCGATGACTTGAAGAGATTATTTGATAAAGATGGTTTTACTCGGATGGATGACCTTGATGTTGTCCGAGTATGCCATTTAATACTTTTGCATGTCGGCTTTTTAGGTAAAGAGGGCAGACAACCAATCTCCGAGGACCTAATATTATTGGTAAAGGACCTAAATGCATGGAACCTATTTCTGTGGGGTTCATATATATATGGAAAGTTACCTGGAAGAAGTTGTCGTATGCCTTCGAGGACCGAAAAAGTTTGTGGGGCGATGGTTCTAAATACACTTTGACAGGCTTTACTTGGGCCTTTAAGGTAAGAATTTCTATATAATGTTTCCAAAATTATAATTAATTATTTAATAATTACTAATGTTTGTGTATTATATTGTTTGTAGATTTGGATATTTGAGGTTTTCCCCAGCATGCGGACATATGCAATAAAAAGATCAAATGATATTCCTAGGGCTATTACCTGGAATAGGAAACGCGTGTTGGATTGGGAAAACTTACTCCCATATACGACGATTAATGATGTAAGTTAACACACAAATACTACCATATATAAACAAGTTATTACTAGTACACGTTTAAATTTGTTTGAGATTTTATATTGTTAGGAGGCCAACTACCCATTACAGAGGCTGACACCCTCAGATGCTGAGCTTGCCACTGATTGGTGACAAGCTAGTAAACGGTTTTTTGATGGGACGGATGATGAGCACCCCCCACTTCGAGAGCCATCACCCCATCGGGCCGATTCTATAGCTCGACACCCGGAGCCATCACCTGGTTGAGCCTCTTCTCCACCTCCACTGTAACATCCGCAATACCGGGTTAGTGACCAAATTGTAAAGTTTCAGAATTTGGTGACTAAAGTATAAGAATGAAATAGTTCAATGATTATTGGATATATATGATGAAGGTTAATTAGTAATTATTAAAGGAAATTAAGGGTTAAATGGTCATTTGACCAGAAAGATTTTTATATTCCTTTTTAAGGGTAATATAAACGTGGGGAAATTGAGAAGCATCCAGAGTTCTCTGCTCCTTTCTTCTTCTTCATACGTGGGAGAGCAAGGCAAAGGTAAGTTTAATTTCAGTTGGTTAATTCTTAAGTTTTAAGCTTAGTTTTGATTCTTTGGGTATTAAATAAGCTTAAGGAAAGCTTATATGGGATTTAAACAATAAGATGAAGGAATTATGAAGGAATTTGCAATATGAGTTTTAAGATGAAATTTTGATATGGTATGGTTGTTTAAGTTTTATGGATGAATTTGACTTGTCATCAATCCAATTAAGAAGTATGAAGTGTTAGAATTGGAATTAGAACACATTGAAAATTTGGTATGATTTTTGAATCTCATATAGAAGATAGGATTTTGAGGTTTAAGATGAAATAAATGAATATAGATTGGTTTAAGTATGTGTACTAGAGTTAAGAATGAAAAGGGGATGATATATGAAGTGTTTGAGAGAAAATGAAGTAATTTTCGGGCTAAAATATGATTTCTGGGCAAGGGGAATCGGTACCCATTCAAGGGGAACCGATACCCCTTCAAACGAACAACATTTCCAGAATGTCATTAGGGAATCGATACCCCCATAGTAGGGAACCGATTCCCCTTAAAGGAAAAATGTGTATATTGGTTTAATAAGTTCGTTTAAGTTGCTAGTATCCAATTACAAGGTGTAGGTATCTAATGATTGCCTCAAAATGTACATTTATGTAGATTCTACGCATAAAGCAATTCCGAAACGTTTGGCAAGTAAGATCGATCAAGGGGAAATATAAGAGATTGGAATTGACTAGTGAGGCCAGGTGAGTGCATATTCAATAGTATACGATGTGCGATGGGAATAAGACTTGCGAT